CGCGCGCGGCGCGGCGCTGTCCACGAGCGCCGCTGCGGCGGCGGCGGGGCTGCGGCTGCACCTCAACTTCGAGCCGCGCGCCGCGCCGGCCAAACCGCCCCCCTCCGCGCCCGCCGCAGCGGCCGCGGCCGCCGCGGCGGCGGCGCGGCCGCTGGCGGCGGTGGGGTCTGTTTTCCTCGAGCCTGGCACGACAGGCCTCGCCTCTCGGGGTACCGACCTAGAACACCACGGCACCCACACCCTCACGCTCCTGTTTTCGGGAGAGTCGGCATTGGCCCGCGAATCCCATCTGCCGGGCTGGGCCCGGCGCCAGCTCGAGCTATCCGACCGCGCCGCCGCCGGCAGCGCGCGCGTGTCGCCGCCGGCGGCGGCGCTCGTGCGCAACGCGCAGGGGGAGCAGTGGCTGCTCTGCTGCGACGCGCTAGCCACGGCCGCGGTGGGCGCGAACCTGCAGGCGCTCTGGCCGCCGGCGCCGCAGGGGCTGCGCTGCTGGTACAGCCGCGGCGCGCCGCTCGGGCAGACGGCGGCGGCGGCGGTCGCGGCGGCGGCGGAGCGGCCGAGGCGGAGGGGGCCGCTGCGGGGCGGCGGCGGGCTCAGAAGCCAGGTGAAGGGATGATGTATGAATAATTGCGGGCCTCGATGGCTGATCCTACCCCCCTGAGCCACCTGGCAACCCAACACCATGAACCTCATGACCCGAGAACATAAACCCTAGACCCCAAACACGACTCCGCAGCGGTGCGCCGCAGGCTCCGCTGCCCGCGCCGCGCACGCGTCGGCTGCGGCTTCTTAACGTGCACTTCGCGTCGCCCACTCACCCACAAAATAAAAGCAATCGCCCAACCACCTCGACAAACCATCCGCCAGTATACTTGAGCGAAAGACCCGTCAGACGTTTCCACAACCTATAAAACCGCCCCAAAAACATCCGACCCGCCGCCCACAAGTATCCGGTCCGCTCCCCAACATATCCGCTCCCCCAAAATATCTGTCCCCACAGGTCCGCCGCCTGACCGCCATGGTGGAGGAGGACCAGGGCGCCGGCCGCGTCGGCGCGCTGCCCGGCCTCGCCTCGCGCCTCGAGCGAATCGAGTCCGGCCGCCCCGCGCCGGCCTACGGCTATAACAGCCACGCCGACGGCGGCGGGTCTGCGGCGGGGTCCTCCGGTTTCGGGAGCTTGGGGGGTTTGCTCGGTGGCCGCTCGAGGATGCTCAGGAGCGACGACCCCAGCGACGACGCCGCGGGCGGCGCCGACGGCTGGGCCGCGTCCGGCGGCACAGTCAGCGGCGGCGCGCTCGCCGCGGCGACCGCTCGGTGGTGGCCGCAGTCGGCGCCGCCCGAGTGGCTGCTCGCGCTGTCCGCGCGGCTGGCCGTGCCGTGGGCGCCGAGCCGGCAGCTGGGCGGCTGGAGCGTGCCGCCGGGCGTCGAGCTTGAGGCAGCAGCAGCCGCACGCGGCCGCGTGGTCGCGCATACGGGGATCGGATCGGACACGGGGACCGGGAGGGCGTTCCTGTGGCTAGTCTGGAACCAGGGGGCGGCGGTAATGGATGCTTTCTTCAAGCCAACGCCGTCGAGCGGCCCTGAGGGCGCTGCCGCGGCCGCGGAAAGCAGCGGCGGCGACGTAGAGTCCGGGCGGGCAGAGGGCGCCCGGCGGCGCTGCTGCGGCGCCGGCGCGGCGGGGGCGGCGGATAAGGAGCGCCCCTCGCCGCCGATCGACGGCGTGCTGGCGACGGCGTGCGAAGAGATGCTGCTGGGGCGGGAGAAGCTGCTGGGAAGCTACTGGCGGGCGCGGCGGGCGCTGGACGCGGACGGGGTGCGGCGGGTGGAGGAGGAGGATGTTCCTTTGGTGCAGGTGAGGGGAGGATGGGGTGGGAGTTTGAGGTCGGGTGCATATGCAGCGGTGTCTTACAGGGCACGACACGAGCGGGGAGCACGTCGCCAACACCGGGGCAAGGCGCGCGGCGTCATGCACGCAGCGCAGGGCAGCCGCGGCCGGCCGGAGGGGGCAGCCGGCGCCGGCATCCAGTCGGCGTCGGCTGGAATTACCAGCAGACAGGTAGAGTGTGTCCAGGCATGGGAGTGCCTCGCGAATTCCGTCCTCTCTGCCCACCAACCCCCGCCTAAAAAATCTCCTTGCCCACCCCCAACTCCCTTCACGGAAAACAGCATGCGATCGGCAGCGCGCTGCTCTCCAACACGGCTGCGCAGCACAGCCACCTGGCCCACAGCCTGGCCAGCCTGGCCGCCTGCGACGCCGTGCCGGGCAGCAGATACTGGTGGGTTGGGGCCGCGAGGTGCTGACCAGCCCTGGAAGAATTGCACCTTTCCATGTGCGAAGCCAACAACTGCCTGAGCCTCGGAAACATCAAAATCATGTTCCCTACCCTCCCCCACCCAC